GTTTCCTTCCGTTTTGGGCCCGGTTTACAAGACCTTTAGGTTCAAAGATGGTATCTCCAGGATTGACAAAGATCCTCCCCCGTAGTCTGAGCCGCTCATGGCACTTTGCTGCTGCTGCTGCTGCTACTGCTACTGCTACTACTACTACTCGTCCTCGTCCTCGTCGTCGCCGTACTGAAGTACTGTAGAACTGTAGCAGCGGCCCGCTGTGCCGGAAAGGGATGTGCGTTGTCAGTGAAGGTCACCCGTCCGGCACAGTTTTCCTGGACTACCACCCCTCTTTTCCAGAAAGCATGTTGGGGCGGGCGTCGTCGAAACTCTTGAAGCTTCCGGCACTCTTGTGCTGGGCGTACGAAGGGCCAGCAGCATGAGCATCATTTGCGTGGTATCTGATTGCTGAGGTCTAGGCAGGCTTCGGAAGCGAAACAAGGGAGACCCGATGATGCTCATGATCCTGGCGCCCTGGGGCCGCCCTGCGGGACCCTCCCGATCCAGCCAGAGCACGCTTCATGTTGGGCACACACAGGCTTGATGTTGCTCGTGGCGACAGGGCCGCCCGTGCTGCAAGACCGGAAATGACAATTACTCGTGCCTCTACAGGCAAAAAAAGCTGCAATACCTGAGCTTCAGGCCTGCTTGCATGAATGGCCACTGTCAATTAGATTCGCCCAAGCAATCCCAGAGAGTGCCTCAGGGAATCTATTGCCAGGGGGTTCGAACACATCATGACCCACAGTGAACGGTCGAAAAAGATAGAAGAATGATAACAGATGCTCCAGCGGTGCTTGACTGGAAGATCCAGCCAAGGAACCTGCGCAGCACCTGCCATGCCAGAAAAGCACTCATCCTGGTAGCTCTAACACGCTCTAACACAGGTTCTAAAAGCTCACGCACTTGGCACAACCAAGAAGACTGGTGCCTTGAAGTGCCTGAAAAATCGCCAGGCTATTTGGCGAAAACCCAAGCTCAGCTTCCATCGCACGGAAAGATGATGGCAGCAGGTTCATGTCCATCCCTTCCACCAAGCACACTGCACAAAGCAGCAGCCAATTGAGGCTTCCCATCGAGGGAACCTCATTCAGCGGGAACCCCTTCATTTGCCGCAAGCAAAGCGGGGGCGCAAGCTCCGCGTTTCTCAGGTATTTGTGGCCATGGCTAGAGGCTAGAAGCTAGCCATGGAGCCATTTGGCTGCGCCGGAGAGGCACACGGAATTGACCAAAAATGCACAGGAAAGTGCAGCCACACAGCCAAGCTCTGCAAGCGGAGATGGGTGCCTTGTGCAAGGTGAAGGGCGGCTGGAGATGGGAAAAGCCCAACAAAGGCGCCCGGGAGCAAGAAGTGACGAACCGCAGCAATTTCGTCTGGCAGGCAGCACTTTGTGAATACGAAGGCTTAAACTGGCTCGATTACGCTTTCGCGCTATGCAAAGACGTGCAGTTGCTGTTGTTGACGGAGCTGCCCCTGGTGCCTGGTGCTGCGGACTCATTGCCTTCACAGCCGTGAAGAAATCGAGCCTGGGCCAGCGTGCAAGCCCAAAAGTTGAGGGCCGACACCATGCAGCTCCACCGAAGGCTGTCAGATGAGGAGCACCAAGCGGTCGCGTGAACCATTGCAGTTGGACAGCTGCGTATGTCGTTGCAGGTCCTTTGCTCATTGCTCATAGCATCATCTGGCTTCGAGTACTAGATTGTTGCAAAGGGGATGCCGGCTCATAGCAGCTATAATGGAACTTCATGGCTTTTGGGAGTGTGAAAGCTTTGCCGCCCCGCCACATCCACATTCAGGGAGCCGCTGCTGGAGCCGCTGATCACCTGGCCAGCAGCATGTGCGCGGATCAGCTGAGGCATGAGACATCCGTTGAGAGCCTGCTGCAGCTCATCCTCACTGAACATCCGCAGCCATCGCTCGTCGATCAATCGCCGAAAGCCACTCAAGAAGGCCGTGGATGCATTCTGTAGCTCTCGATTCAGCTTGTAGTCGCTGAGCCTGACGAACCACGAGGTTGCTATGAGGTGTACACGAGCTGCATAGCCTAGCATTGCGGTCGTGGCACAAGTAAATGTAGCGCACCCTGTTCTCGGCTGTGACCGATACTTCCTTGCCGTTTCCCCCGGGCAGCAACGGAATCTCCTCGCCATCACTGCCAGTGGCAACAAAGTTCAGGCACAGATCTGCCACATCACCACCTCCACAGGTCTGACGATGCCAGGAAAGGCAGATCAATCCTTCGGCAGTGGGCTGAGCACAAGACTGTAGACTTTCAGCTGCTGCAGATTTCCGAAGAGTGCCTGAGCTGCTCGCATGGCGAAAGGAAGACAATTGCTGTTCATGTCTGCGGTGCTTCCAGGCTACCGGGTCCAAAGATTGGAGGTCGTAATACGAGTTGTGTTTGCCAAGAATCTTGGCAAGGAAGAAAGGTGCAAATGAAGGCTCCACGACCTGATTCCGGCGACATTTGTTGAGGTCGTTTTCTGACTTCCGCCTGGGATGCGGCTGCGGGACAATTCCTTCAAAGATAGCTTTGCCGATCACGAGGCCCAAGAACTCGAAGAGCGTCTCGACGTTTTCCTGCCAAGTGCCACGAGACTACATCAGATCACGGCCACTCTCAGACTGAGATGAAGCAGCCGAGGCGCATGGTATTTCCACGCGTCTGGGTTGGGGAACAGGAGCCGCTCATCCGTGATGCGAAAGAGGCCATACTCGGGGTTGAAGGCTGTCTCCGCAAGCCTCAAATGAAACCAATTGAAGACCTGACGACATGCTCCCTCGAGGACACTTCGGCCGAGCCGCTTCTCCCAGAACTCCTTGAAGAGGCCGCCGGCATCCTGCCCCTGCTCCGGTCTACCTGAAGCGCTCACGAAGACCACCTGGAACCGCGCTCGCCAGTCAGCCTCCTCACTTCGCGCGCCACAAAGAGCAACAAGGCCGTCGAAATCGACTTCACAGTCCTTCAGCATCAAGGACGTGAGGCCGTCCTCAAAGAGGTGGGTGCGGCGGACCGTCAGCTTCACCACGGGCCGGCCCAGCCCAGCCTCCCACACAGCAAAACCCAAGACCCACCATCGTGGTGTGTCATGATCGGGCAACAGTTTTATGGTTCGGGCGAGGAAATGCAGCACAAGCTGGCATCATCTTGCCTCTGTAAACAGGTCTACTGTGTTCCCGGCGCCTCCAAATCCACGGTTGTCTCATGTGCCGCAACATCGATATTTGCACTCTTTCCGGTGCTGGCCGTGTCGAAAGCATCGGTGTTTGCGGTGCTTGCTGATTTCGGTTGGGGGATCCTGTACTTAGGTTGATCGGTATTTGCACTCTGTCCTCTTCTGGCCGTGTCTTGCCTTGCTGTCGAAGGTTCGGGTGGGGCGGCTGAGGGGGAGGGGGAGGGGGGGCTGATGTGTTGCTGGCAGAGCATTGTTCTCGGAGGCGTTGAAACCATCTGCATGCGCAACATCTGCGCAGCGAGCTTGTAGAGTCGCTCTAACTTGTGGAAAACCCCTAATCATGATCCCTGATCCGCAAACCCGAGACATCATCATCACCACCATCATTATCATGGCCATCACCATATATCACCATCATCGTCATCATCATCATCATCATCATCAAGATTCTGTTCACCATGCAACCCAAAATCGTACGTCTTAGGTACTGTAAAATGTAACTTTCGTCCTGAAAATAGGGTGCAGGCCAGCGATATGCATTTCCGAGCTTCAACCACTTCGACAAAAGTGGAGATGCATCATACCATGACCAAAACGATGAAAACGCCGTGGCCGCATGAAGTCAAGTGCCGTTCGCACCAAACGAATGTTGCACTGGCACTGCCCCGCGCACATTTACAAGGCGATCAGACGAGCGTTGTTGTGTTGCTGTCTCATCTCACAACATCTCAACAACTCAACTGCCGGGCACCTGCAGGCTAAATTTGCAGACCCATGCTGATGCTGCTACAACATGCTGCAGTTTTGCGTTCTCTCGGGGGTGCTTGTTGTTCAGGCAGTGTGGCTGCATTGCTCACTGCCCAAGAGCCTCACGAGCCATCTGGACTCGGGCACGGAGGAGTGCGACACGGAGCTCGAACGGTATGGCCTGTCATTGCATGCACGATACCTGGCAAGTTGCATGAATTGCATGGTGCGCAGAAATGGAGCTGCTGCCTGTGGTAGGTGGCGGAGAAGGCGCTCAGCACCGACAGGCAGCTGAACGGGCTGAGCGAGCTGAATTGAGTCTGTGATCTCCTCCAATGCCAAAAACTAATGTCCGCATCGTGCGCTGCTCAAACTTCCTTGGCGCCTTGACAACCGCCTTGAAGCCCTCCGTGACCGGGTCTGGAGCATGCCAGCAGCTCGCAGGAAGCGGCTTCTCCCCACGACGGCACAGCGCCCAGAGCTGTCCCAGGACGCATCCGGCGGCCTCCAGTAGCTCCTCGCCTTAAGTGACACATTGATCGAAGGCTCCAAGACTCTACCCGGTGCAACTACTGCTCTCCGAATCGCAGAGCGAAAGCTTCAAATTGCTTGGATCGAGCCGCGAATCGGAAGGCCTGCGGCCCCTGATGCCTCGGCACCGCTCCATGCGAGCCAAGAGGTGACCGATGTCACCTCCAGCGCTCAGCGAGCAGCTTCATCAGAAACGACCTGCGGCCATGTGGCTGCCCGCCTTGCTCACGTACATGCCGATGTCATGCTTACAAAGTGGAGAGTCTGGACTTCGAAGCTCGTCGTAGGTCATGATGCCCAGACTCTGCGACAACAGCACGGCGTGTAGGTGAATGAGGTGGAAGACATTGGGACCCAGATGTTCGCTGAGTTGACCGGGGCGCACCGCATCCGCGGTCAGAGTGCTTTGAATTCGCCGCCACAGCCTGGGTTTGCCACAGCTTTCCCACACGGATAATCAAAGACTGCAGCGTACTCTTAGACAAGACACGCCTTGGTCACATCGCCACCCTCCATGTAGGCAATGGCATTGGCAATCGTTTCAAAGACTTGGTAGTTTAGCCCCGACTTCGAGGCTACACGAGCTTTGCCCAGCAAGGTGCTGTAAAGGTGTGCAAGGCTGTCCACCGCCAGCGGGCACACTTTGTGATGTGCTACGGCCAGGCAGTGCCGTTGGTACCCACGGAGTCGCACAGGTCCCAAAAAGGCCTCCTGCACTAAAGATCTAATTTAATGGGACCCCTCTGAGGCCTGCTTGATGCGATCGGACCCGTGCCTTTGGCACATACTTCAGCATGAGAACTCGGCTCCACCACTGGGCTATGGCCCCAGGCTCAGCCACATGCTGCAGCTGTCGTCGCAGCTCCTGCATGTATCTGTAGCAACGGAGCTGGGGCCACTGACAGTCTTCCAATCCTTGACGGTCACCGGCTCGTCTTGGGCTAGTGCTGGTGCTCCGGCAAGCATTGAGACCTACCCGCGGAGGCTAGATATGAAGCTCATGCAGGTCTCCAACGCGTGAGACCTGTGCGTTCTCAACACCTTCCGACCTCGACCGCTCTCTCCAGCAGGTATGCTTGGACCCTGAGAAGTTCTGGCAACGGTAACGTCAAGGCTGCATGCAGCTCGAAGAGATTGCCTGGCGATGGAAATCGGAAATCGTCCAGCTGACGATCCTACCCTCCAGCTTGACTCTGCATCACTACAATGCACTACACTGGCCTGCAGCATATGACATCGCATACTCCTGCTCCATTGCTTTGGCAGAACCTGCATGGTCTTGATAATTCTTGATACTTGATGGGTGTTCCGCAGGACTCGTTGCACCCGCCTTGGCGCTCATTTCCGCGATGATTCTTGAACCGGGACAGAAGTCGAAGCAAAGCTGAAGACCATGCTTGCTCCTCTGATGGCTGCACTCTCAGCACTCTCAACTCCACCCTTGGAGTCATGCTAGAAGCCAGCTGAAAACCACCGTCCTCGGCCCTGGGAAGGCATCTCGCCAGCGGTGCTCCCAAGCGCGGGACGGAGAGCAGCGCTTCTAGGAGTTCGGCCGCTACCTCGAACGCGGCCTCCTCCCAAACTCGCGGCGTTTCGGCAAATCGAACCCTGGTAAACTGGGGCCGTTCGTCAGATGCGAAGGCCGTGAGGCACCGCAATCCGAAACAAGGCGCGAGAGTACACATTGGCTACTACATCAGGATGCGTGCCTGCAACCGGAATCACGGACACGCACGGATTCAGATCTTTTCAGCACTGGATCCTGAAGGGCGAGCCGCAGAAGTGCAGCTGCCGCACCAACCTGCTGACCAGTGCAGGGCTACATGCTTTGGATCAAGTATGTCACAACAACCCTCTGCTCTTCCACACTGGGCTCTGCCGCACCAGGTTCTGCAGCTTCTCCGGAGGTGTGCCGCCGCTGCCCCAGCAGCCGGCGGCAGCAAGTGCGCAGCCGCGCCAGTGTTGAAGCCTCAATGGCTGACATCGTCAAGCACGTGTTGGGATAACCTTCGCCACACGACCAACCCAGCTCTCGGAGACTTTTGAGTGCAATCAGTGCGAAAAGTAACGTAGCGGAACAGACGCAGGTCTGCAGCAGTAGGCCAGAAATCCTCCGAACCAATGGCGCGCCCATCTCAGAGCCGCCTGTGACCAACGAACAACGAATGGACGGAGATGGACATCTACAAGATGATTGGCTTCACTGCTGGAAAATGCGTTTATTCTCGGGTTCGCTTGCCTGTGCTAGACTTGGAATGGCCAGCCTTGCGCCCATAACATATCAATAGATCAGGAGCCTATGACGTGTCGGCCGGTACACGACGAACCGAGGAAGAGTTTATGAAGTTTATGGCATCAATGAATACACAGGTTTGTCCAAATACGTCACACATGCACCGTCTATGGCAGATCTTCGTGGCCACCTCGATCGCAACGAAAAAAGCAGATGCGGAAACCCTCGCGCCTGCCCAGCTTTGCACATTCAAGATTTCGAACAGATTTGCCACGCAGGCCGAAGCCGCAGTCGACAGGATTTGCGAATGTCCACGAACTGGTGCAATTGCGATCACAAGCAGAGCATGGCAGAAGTTGACGACGGTCCGATTTGGATCCTTGGCGTCTGGGATAGGCTATACTTTAATGTGCCCACGGCGAGTTCGTATGTAGAAATGCGGCTCTGTCCAGCCAAGCTGGGTTGCACTGATGTCACATCCCCACAACAACCTGACACCTCACTTGCCAGCAAAGCGCTGGCACATGCAGTGGTCGGGCATCGGCACATAGCAGAGAACCTCACAAAACCGTCCAGATGCGCTGTAAAGAGCACGTGCACCCGCACCGTGCATGAGCTCAGCTTGTAGCAAATGCTCTTTTGCGCACCGTTTGAAGAAGCCCGCAAGCCGTCGATTGCCTTAGCGCATGGCCCGCGTTTCTTCTTGGATGGTGTCGACATTCCGATGGTATGGTGGCACTTGTTTCCTGATTCGCTCCGACGGACTCAGACTAGACAACGATAGAGAACAACGTAGGCGTACGGCCAGCGAGGACAAAGTCTGCAGCACCTGCAGCTCCCCCGCTTTCAGTGCCCTCTCGAAACATGCTCTAGGGACAGTCTTAACAATCGTTCCTGTAATTTCGTGTACGATATCCAGCACTCGTGAAGAAGATGTTGGGCGATGCCTCGGCCAGCTCATCTGAACTCCGTGATGCGCGGCATCTTCGGACCTCGTGTCAGACAACTTCAAGTGACTTGGTGCCCGCCCGACGCTCGGGACCTGCCAGCACGACCGGCGCAAAAACGTCAGCAGCAACTCCGCTGGCGCAAGGAACTGCTTTCCTGCCAGTCTGAGGCAAAGATGTGGCAGGGGTGCCAACGAATACTTAAGTCTTCAATCTGCAAATGCATCAGCTTCGGGTAGGTGAGCCTTCAGCAGTTGACCACTCTCACCCGATTAGGTTATGCAGACTTGGTCTTACTGTGCATGGTTACCCTGCACTTGCAAGCGCCACAGTCCCTGCTGCCGCAACGAAGTCGCGAGACCCCCAAGATCTTGGACCTGCTTCCTCAGTGAAGCCGGAAAGGAGTGCAGCAAGCTGTTGATAACACAGATAACGCACCGACAAGCGACACGTCCGACAGCATTCGCCGCCCAAGTGATCAGCTATGGCTCCGAAGACTCTTCCATTCGGCCTCTGCCCAACTGCGTCTTGCCAGGAATCCCCGGACCTGGATGGGCCCATTTTCAGACAAACGTGATCCTATCAGTCCAAGCGTAGCCAGGCAGCGAAGCACTGAATTCGCGCGGCGCCCTCTGTACGGTGGCTCTCCTTAGCCGTCTCCTTTGACAGAGCAGAGTGTGATCTTGAAGCCGGAGCATGCATCAAGAAGCCAGGCTCCTCCGTGTTCTGCTGGCGTTGCCTCTCTCGCTCCTGGCAGACACTCCATCACCGCAAGCAGCCCAAAGGTCGTCCTAGTTGCTACAATGCAAGACATTTTGGGATGGCAGTTGGTGCAAGGACCAGCCTGCCAAGCTGAGGCTGAACATGCTGAAACTGACATGTTGTGGGAAAGCGGGGATTGCCGTAGGGTCAGGCTCAGTGTGAACCCTGACCTTCCCGTGCTTCAAATTGCTCCGGCTAGAGTCTAGAACCTGACGTGGTGACCGATACCGTAGTTGGTAGTGGCTAGTTCTTGACCCTTCAAAAAGAGCTTGGTCAAAGATTCTTCCAACTTTCCTCTGTCTTCCCCTGCACGTAGTAATCTATCTCCTCTATGCTTCGAGATCATCTACGAGGCGTGAGACAGGCTAGCATGCTCGGAGAGGACCAACATTCACAGCCTGAGCAGGCTAGCAAGTCTGAGCAAGCACATTAAATAGAAAAGATACCTCTGACTCGAGCTCTGCTCCTGACGCTTCTTCTCCAAGTCATGGAGCAAGGCAGCTTTGGATGACATGGCACTGGCATTGACATTGCGCAGGCTTCACTCAAGGTTGGGGCGAGTCTCGAGGTTGCGGTGACAGGAGTGATGCGATACAAAGAACCTGGCCTTATCCTGATTTTGCAAAAGCCCCCGTGGTGGATTCGTTCGCTTAGGCCTTTGCACATTATGTTGCTTCAGAAATCTTCAGAGCCACATTATGCAGTGAGAGGCACGGGGGTGGGTCCCATAATTTGACCCTAAAAGACCAAGCAGAATTTGGAACCCGGCGCCGGCATCTGCGAGTTCCCTTTCTGCAGCAAGAGTCCTTACTTGGTGATCCGCCCTTCCTCGCGTGGTGAGTGCCGGAGAACGGGTGCACGCTTGAGGCTCGCGCCTCAAACGCATGTCCGCCTCTGAGATTAAAGCCCCTTCAACACCAGCAGCTCGTGCCTTTGCATGTCGGAAATAACGTGCTCGGCAAGGCTGCAAGGACAAAGCCCCAAGATAGCACTGGCACCTCCATGATGGCCACACGCAAAGATACTTCATCGTGGGCCTTCGCAAATCTTTTTACTGAAATTCTCGGGCAGTGCTGGCCCAACGGCAGGACGCATCTACGCTTACCTGCAAACCCAACTGCCTCTGCCAGCGCATACATGCTGAAGTACTTGTCATAAGCATACTCTGCCTCGGCAGCTTCAAGTCAGCAACCTGCCCTGCTGCTTCCCAGATGACACTCCAGAAACCAAGCGATTGGCCGCATCAAGGTCTTCCCGATTAATGCCGGCCTGTTTACGCAGGGGTTCGGTCGTGGACTGCGAACTACAGTACTCTGTCGAAATTGAACTTGCCGGCCGCCTCAACACCGGAGACAGCAGAAAGCCAAACACCGTGCCGAAATGCTGTGCCGAAGGTGTCCTGCAGAAGGCTACACTACTACGACAGCTATCTCCGTCTCCACTGCCAATGGCCTCGCAGACATCCTCTGGGAGCCCCACGAGGGAAAGCTTGTCTACCTGCCATTGCACTTTGACAGAGCATTTCCAGGCTGAGGTGTGGAGCTCCCGCCTCAACAATGCAGTCACCCACCTTCAGAAGTGGCTGTCCAGGCTTGGCTTCCACCTCCTTTGGTCATGAGTTTCATGACCCTCTGCGCAGACGCTGGTGGTGCTCTCTGGCTTGCGCGTGCTCCTCGACGACCATGCCCCACTTCGTCGTCTGCAATGTCATGCCACAGCCTGAACGAACTGTGCTGGTTTGCAAGTTGCCACATGTTCCGCTAGATATTCCGTTCGAGTTTGCATGCCTGAGCTTTGCCTACAGACCTCAGGAAGCGACCAACTTTGTCAAGCACTCTAAGCTGCATGCGCCTTGGCAGAACAAGCCAAGCAATGGAAGACTTGTCAGTCAAGCTTAGCATGGCTCGGCACGGCCAGAAAGCCATACGAATTAAGGGTGCAGCTTGATGCCGGGCACCTTGGGAACAGGTTTTCCTGGCTGCTCTCCACACACTTGACACTCGCAGGATGAGAGTTTGAATGCATCGGTCCTGTCGGCAGATCCTCCGCTTTGGCAGCTGGTGGCGCTTCGCGCTTCACTGCTACCGGGACATCTTTTTCCGTTTCCATCGGTTCCACTTTTTCCTCCTTGGGCTCCATCGGCTCTTCGTAGGCTGCTGGCTCCGGCTCGATTGGCACAGGAGCTTTCCTGGGCAGCACAACGCAGTCTTCCAGTTCTTCAAGTCGGCATTCGGCGACGCTGTCCTCGCAGCTTCTTCCTGCAACAGCCTCGTGAGCGCAGCCTCGGCAGCCTGCAGCTGTCTGCATATGTTAAGTCCATGCCCGAGCACTGGAACCGCTCAGCTGGAGGTCGCCTGCAGGTCTTGTTCAGCAGCCTCCTCTGCACCTGGGAGACAATCCCCACAAAGCTGGGGAGGGCGGCCGATAGGCCTGTCCTGATGCGGCCGAAGCACGAGCTTGTGCAATGGCGCTTTTCAAAGCCTTGGGGCCGCAGCACATCAGCACCAACAAGTGGGCATTCGAAGTGCAGAGATTCCAGCAGTGATGTTTCGCCCACCCATAGCCTGGACAGGCACTTGAAAAAACTGGCACTCGGACGAGAAGCCGAGAGAAGCGTCGCTTTTGAATTGTCTACTGGTTGTGTGGAATGCACGTCAGTACGGCGATAGATTCGACGATAGCCCATGAAAGGTTGTCAATCTCTCAGAACGGGTGGCCACCGCTCTGTTCAACAGCAACAGAGTCAAGGGAGGTCGTGTGGTTCCAGCGGCACCCAGTTGCGCAGGTCGAAGCCGAGCCTCGCGGAGCCGGGCAAAGGCCTGGGCCAGTTCTTCGGAAACCCCTTAAACTCAAACTAAACCGTGAGCCCTACACCGAACCCGGTTAAACCCCTCAACCGCAAAAAGCCTAACACCTATAAATCGCAGGGCAACACCAGGCAAGGCACGACAGGTCTCAAGGCTCCAATGGCTGTACGTTGAAGCAGTTCGGATTTAATTTCAGAGCATTTCTGATAGTTCTCTGGCTTCAAATTTCCCGCTGCTATCTGGCTCCAAGAGCGCTAATTTGCGGCATATCTTGTGGGTCGCCAGCTGCAGATGCTGCAACTTCTGATGCATTCCTAATTGTTTTGCAGAGCGTTTTGATCGCTGTTGCATCATGTTAACTTTCGAGCTCAGCATGTCAACTTCAGACCGGAGTTCCTCATCAAGCAAAGTCGGATCGCAGTTTTTCGCTTTCGATGTAGAAGACATCGGTTTTCACGGTGTGAATGTCAAGCCCCCCCCCCCCCNNCCCCCCCCCCCCCCCCCCCCTGCTGGTCATGAAGCAAGGAGGGTGCAGTTGTTCCCCTTGCGATGCTTGGTTGAGACATGTTCGGTGTTCCTTCATTTCAATTTCACCCCCTTCGCCCCCCAAGTTGCTCGCGAAGCGTGACGCTCTGGAGGCTTGGTGTTGTCATCACTTGGAGGGGGAAAGCTTTGTTTTGGAAGTCGCGTTCGGGTTCTTCGTCGTGCTCATTGAACCCCCCCCAGTACACATGAAGCGAAGACGAGGAGCAAAGGAACAAATGATCGGAGTCCACGGGCACCAGAACAGAGGGCTAAACTTACGATCGGACTAGATAAGGGTTCGGTCAGCGCTTCCCAAACAGGACTAAATGATGCTCTCAAGATGCAGCAAGCAATCTCAAGGCAGGCAAATGCGAGACTTCACGGTGTGCACATTCGCTGTCTGGTCTACATGACCTACTCAAGTGTGACTTTCATGGTAAGCGCGCGATCACTGCCGAGGTCCGGGCTTTCTCTTTGCGCTCTACGCTAAGGCGCTCTTCCAGGGCGGCCTTCTGGAGCTGCTTAGGAAGACAAACGTGTGGGATCAAAGTCCGTAAGAAGCGCTGCACTCCTTGAGGTTCAAGTTGAAGCTTTCCTCTGCCTTCAGCAGACAGACAACGTCGTGTACTTCGCTTCGCTGTTCCGTTCGTCTCCCTCTGGCCTGCGATATGTCAGTCTCGCTTACTCCAGATTGTCTCGCCAAGAAGATGGCGGCCTGACAGGCTGTAGCGGTTTCTTTTGTTGAATCGGGCATTCGAAAGAACCAAGCTCTCCTGCAGAACTGACTCGTCATCCCCGCTAGCAGCCACCTGAGCCATTGCGCGACATGTGCCAGCATTGCAGTCTCGCGGTGTGATCTAACCATCTCAGGTCGATTCGTTTAGCTCTCGCAGGGAGACAATGCGCCGAAGCATATCCTGCCAGGGTGCGTCGACATGTATGCGATGATCAGTTTGTCGGGATCAAGCGTCCTCCGCTTCTTCTACGGTGCTGTTCTGGATGCCAGCATCAATGGCCTGCTGTCGTCGAGCTCAATGAATGTGGCAAAATGGCAAGACAAGCACGATCCCGGGTACGAACGTAGGTTATAGTAACACAGTTGCCACCATTTGCTCTGACTTGCAGTGGGCCGCGGGCACAAACGCGGAAGTGATCGAAACGGGTTAAACACACACACACACACACACACAAACACTTGTTCCTCACACGTTCCTCTGCAAGTACCTGTGTTGGCATGTTCGCGCTGATGCGTTGTTGTGTACTGTGTACTTCTGGTGGGAGTGCCACGGTATGCAAAATCCAAAAACTCATTCAGGTAGTTTGCTATCGGTAACCGGCTTCCGGGGAGGAAGGAACGCATATCTACACTACGTTCCTATGCATGGATGCGAGCTGCGAGCCGAAGCATGCATGGGGGTCAATGTGTGTATGTGTGGAGCCTCTTTTGGGTTTTCTTTTGGTGGGAGAGTAGATGGGCACGACCTTCTCGGAGGAGCAACACGAGGCCACATGGCGGAGCAACGACTCGAAAAGACTGCGCTTTGCACATCAGGAGGGGTACGTATGTATGCTATGTTACAGGCATGTTGCAGTGTTGGAAGGCCTGAAGAAAGCTGCTTAAGCAAATGCTTGCCTTGTTGAGGGCTGCCTCGAGGAGGCTTTCATCAACTTTGCTGATCGCTTCTGACAGCGCTCGCCCCTTAGAGTAAAGTGATTCTGCTTACTTGTCACAACAATCTTCCACAGGAAGCATTCGGGATTGATCCAGAATCTGGTTCTGTGGATCTTTGTGGCATAAGGCGATCGCGGCTTCCAGATTCTTTCTCTTCACTGTGGCTGCATCCGTGCCACCTCCCTTTGCAGCCACCTCGTGATCGTGGGCTGCAGGAAGCACTAGACCCAAGCGTCTTTGAAAGCTATGTACGCACAACTATGCCGTGCAAGCAAAGGCTTCGGCTGACACTCGCGGAAGCTTGGCCTCAAGAGACGGCCAGGCTGATGGGCGGTGTCGTACACTGCGCAGCCCACATGCTTGCTGCATACTTGCGCAGCTTGCTACTTGCTAAGACCAGAGCTGCTGCTGGACGATTTTTGGCAAACTCCTCCCTCAACATGTCGACCTCGACGGCATGCGTCAGGCAAGGTGCACTTCGCTCTGCCTGTGCTGGTTGGGTTTGACCAATGCCTGGGTCTCCAGATCGGAAGGCAGAGCTCCTAGACCAACAGAGCCTGGTGTGCAAGTGCATCTGCCAAGGCAACGATGCAAACGCTCGTCGAGAGGGCTGGGATGGCTCACGGCCGCTCTTCTGAAATGACTTGACCTCGGCATTGATGTAGCGATGAACTTGTGCGCCTGTGCTTCAGTAAGCGAATGCCTGGCCTCTGCGACATCGGCCGGGTGAAAGCCGATCCAGTCCCTGGCAGCTGATTTCTTTCAGTCTAGAACCCAAAGCCGTAGGTCAAAGGAACTCAAAAGAATGACGATGACACCTCAAGAGAGCACTCTCTGTACTCAGCCATGTGGGCAAATGTGCCTTAGACGGGACTGCATGGGCCAAGAATGGCATGCTGAGACCGCACAGCGCCACAACTTGCTGGGCCTCGGGCCAGGATGAGACAAAGCTTCCTCGACCGCGTGAAGGCCTGCCACGGTGGACCCCTGTGCCGCAGCCGCATGCGTCCCAAGCGTGGCAGCAAGACAACGTTCAGCCGACGCCAGTCCGACACAAACCCAACATCACCACCTCGGACAGCGCGATCGGGCTCGGCCAGGACGGACTTGACATGCTCAGTCAGTGGCGTGGATTGGCCCGGACGAGGCTGAGGATGATGATGTCCTACATACGCAAGCTAGGGGACCACCGAGCCAACGGAACGTGATGTGACTTGTTGCGGCATCTCACGGTGTGCCTTCTGGCATCCCTGGAAGGCATCCACTGAAGAGACTTGGACCTTAGACATATCCAGTCACTTGAGATCAGAACCTTTCTTGTGCGGTAGACGGTCGAAACGTGTTGGGCAAGACCTTTTCTTGTGCAGGGCATCGCGACGCAGACCCGGATCGCTTGAGTCGGAACATATCCGATAGCATTCCAAAGGCAGTCACCTCGGCTTTGTATGGTTCGACTTCGAGCCGACGCACACGACCACTCGCTTGCCCGAGTGGCCGCAGCACCAGCTCCGGGACCCTGAACCACCAGAGGCCGTGGGGTGAAGCGCGCCGACGAGATGGCCACCATGTTATCGGCATGACGGAGAGCTGGCGGGGAAAGCGGCACGGCTCTGCGCGAGTGCATGTACACGGAACAGGAAAATACAGGAAAAGGCCTGCTAAGGGGTGGTCCCGAAGCACCGACACCAGGGAGATTCTGGCTGTCCGGCTGGAAGCATTAATGGCGCCCACATAGCGCAGGACTTTGTTCTGAACACGTGCCTACAGTCACTTCACAGTGACAAACCGCATCGAAACACCGGCTTTGGAGACAAAGTGACGAGGGTGCCTGGGCAACCCTCTCTGCCATGTCATCATCGAACTCACGCAAATGGCTCACGAAGTCCGAGACTGTGCTGCCTCGGACATATGTTGCTACATTGACAATTCGAAAGCTAACAGCTCCATGACTGAAAGTGAGAACGAGGGTCCCTTTCCATCCTGTGCTCAGTCAGAGAAGCCATCTTGCAGAGAAGGCTCGTGTGTCTGTGTTTGGTGGGTTCCAGATCTGCAGCGTGTCAGGCACCAAGGACTCCGGAGCGACATCTTCGAGCTCCAATTCAAGACCCAACTCTCTTGCCAGGATGACAACCTCACAAGTGTGTCAATTCATCCGATATTCATCCTCTTCTTCTTCTTGCAGGTTTCATGCTTCAGTGGCGTGAGGTAGAACCGGGCATCACCGCAACACGCAGATGAGATTGCATCCCTTGTTTCCTTCATTCCATCGGCGTAGTCGCAGCACGTCTGCTCTCACAGACCCTTGACTCGTGCGCACGCAGCTTCCTTCTCCCCTCAGGTCGACATTCACATCGGTTTGTGGTGGGCTGAAGGGACCTTGAGAGGAGCTCTCTGTAACCAGCGTGCCATTCGCGCATCCTTTGGCGATTGTCTCTGCGAATCGCGGGAGTGACTGCAGTAAGTGAAACTGCACGCACAAAAACACATATATACATATATATGTATTTCTTATTATTTCTGTCTTTTTTCGGGTACTAGCGCAAGGCTTGGACTTAAGGCGACACTGGGAAGCCTGCTGGACTGTATTAGCATTGCCAAACCCTCGACACCTCTGGAAGGTGGACCTTCCAGAACACTCTCTCCATCTCTTTCCAAAGCTCTGCTTCTGTCATTTATCTATTCTTTCCTTCCTCCAAGCTTCATCTGTGTCTCGCTCTCTGCTCCTCTCTCTCGGTGTTGCATAATTATGCAGACAGGTCGCTTTGCGCTGGACATCGCCACCACTCAAGTCGTCGCGAGGGTCCGGCTCCAAAAAGCCTAGCCGTGCAGCCTCCCACACAGCTTCCGAAAAGGTGGCGCCAAGCCTAGGTAGGGGGCCCCCCCCCCTTACAGGCCGGTAGGGGCTTCTATGTGCAGAGAAAACACTCGATGTGGTTGAAGATGAAGGATAACGTCCCGCTGAAAACACCTGCAGTGCTGCGGGGATTGTATGGCATGCTCAAGACCTGCAGAAACTTTCAAGCAGGGTTTTGTAGCTGTGCACGACATCGGAGCGGAGCCTCAAAAGTGCGTTTTTCAGATGCACACCTCTAGGCTCCACGGAATGCTGGGTAGGTCATTCTGCAACTCTGGGCTGAATCTGTTCAGCGCGATCGGTGCAAGCTCGCAAGCTCGGCAGCAAGAAAACCCATCGGCCTTCAACTACCTGAGCTCTTTCTACTTGACACGAACAGCTTCTTGTATTTGTACACTGGCTGGGCTATTCCAAATGCCGTTACGAGGGCATGAACATCATCTCCGCTTCGAACCATGTCTTGCAAAGTCGTCAGCACCGGCAACCCAGCTCCGACCGTGGCCTGCCAACAAGCGCAGAACGTCTTTCTAAAACACGACGTTGCACAAGGCGAACTCATGTGGCCTCGTAGAGAAACTGGCTCTGCCCCATCCGTGCAGCCTCCGTGATCGCTTTGTATCTCTTCAGGCTGCCACTTCCGGCTTTCTTATTGGCAGTGACCACGTTGATGCCTGACAACGGGCCCACTCCAAGGACTCAAGGTCTGTAATGACCCGAACAACGAACAACCCATCCTGCGGCAAGCCATTTTTCGTAGAGGTCAGCTGGCTCTTCTGAGGGGGTGCAGTCCATGATCACCCGCAGACCTCTCGCGGCGAGGCGAATCTGAAACTCTTGCAGTCTTACAAGCAAGCCCTGTCCTGGACGAGCGCTCATGAAGTCACTAAACTTTGTGAAATTGGTCGGCTCGCCAGGCATGCTCATGAAGTCATCACTTGCCTTCGACTGCAGCTGGATTATGGGTTGCACCACAGACACAGGACGAAAAAAGTTGAAGGTGGGTGGCGGGTGGTTGACGGATGCCTCCTGTATGTTGCGAAGCCACATGCGCTGAGAGCGCAGAACGGCCACGGTGCTCCAATCGCCTGCTAATGGGAGAGTGAGTACGATCCTTTTCTTGCCTGCACATCTCTCCTCCCCCGGGTGTCAGTTTTTGCAAGGGCTCGTGGTACGGGTAAGCAGGGGCCCCAGGCCTGCACGTTCAGTGCCGCTGAGAGCACGGACCTGCCTCAAGACTTCTTGTCCAACGAGCCCTGCGCCCACAATGCCAACTGACACAGACTCTCTGCCAGGGCTTCCGATCCTGTAGGCGACTGCGAGAGTCAGACCGTCTTCGAGAACCTCCTTGCCTAAGTTCGGTCTGCCCGTCCTGCATGCCTCTTGAGAAGCAGCAATCTCAAGAATCAGCATCGCTGTCACCACGCCATGCAAGCTCGACATGGATGCAGAAACAATTTCTGCGCGCTCCTTATGCAGGCTGCGGCAAGCGACGCACATGGACTTCTCTGTTGCAGCAATGACGGCGGCGTCTCTGGACGGATTGCGCAGTGTGCAAGTCATGTTGCATGTGTTGGCTGCACATTGCTGCAAGAGGGCGCATGGTCGCCAAAGTGCGCATGCACTTTCAGTCATGCGCAGTACCACTCTGGAGTCTGGAGTTGCCGAGCCAGTGAAAAAGAGCCGAGATCAGGTTGAGATCTAAACTAAACTGGCATGCAGAGTTTCAGAGCAGTCTGGGACTGCGACTGCATCCCTGGCTTCCCTCGGAAGGGCCTCGGAGGGGTGGCCATGTCAGAAGCCGAGCAAGACGATACGAAGTTGCGCAACCCAAGCCACTGGCATTTCGTATCTCAGAGACCTGCCAACACGATAGTAAACACATGCTTGCAAGCACAAACACACAACAAACAGAAAACCAAACAAGCAGTTTTTGACCTTGAAGCGTGGCCAGCTCATCGTGAGATGATTGCCAGTACAAACCATGAGCAAACGAGAAATTGGACCGTTATTGTTCGCTTGCTTGTCGAACTATCGAACACGCGCGACCCTCATGTCAATGCAGAATCAGCACATTTCGGCGCAATGTCCGGCCTGCGCGGCATAGGGCGAAATCACACCGATCTCCTCGCCCCTGAGTCCTTGGCCATATCCGCCAAGGGAGTAGCGATTGATGGTCTTCTTCTATGGTATCAAAATGTAGGGCAGCAAACAAGACGGTGGTCATGCAGAGACCAAGGTCACAGCTCCCGTAGAGCGTCATGAACTGCCTTGGGCACATGCAAGAACGCACGAGGCAAAAACCCTGTCCGCACCACGTTGCCCACTGCACGCTTTGTGGTGGCCCTCGTGGACATCATATAACCGCAGTAGAGCATGGATTCTAAGCTCTCTTCTCGACGAGCCATGCCGCACCTTAGGCTGAAGAGTGCTCCCCACAACGCGACATGTGTGGACGAGCATGCTTGCCAGCTCAGGCGAGTGGCAAGCTGCTTCATCAACGTTTCTTTTGGACGCACCTCTGGATTGCTCGCGGGCCTGCAGCAGCGCACTGACAGGTTCGAGAAAATACCAGCCGCCAGCTGTCGCTTATTTTCCGACTTCTTGGTACGCCATTGTGCTAGGAGCAACGATCCGGCAATTCTGCCCACGTTGTTGTGATGGCTCTCCTTTGGGCCATCTCTGACGAATCCTCATACAATGACTTAAGGATCGCGAAATTATGCGAAGTTTTCAGGGTGCCTGGCGCGAGCTTGTTCGGTGTCTTGTCTGCTCAATCCGACTTGACCACATGCCCTTCTATGACAGCTGACGAGTCTGCTTTGCGACTCTGCAGGGTACTGGCAGGGAGCAGTTGTCCTCAGGTCACGAGTTTCCTGTGTCCCTTCTCCCATAGGCCGACCTTCATGCATCAAAGATACAAACCCCGCAGCGCCCCAAAGCAAATGGAGGAGGCGAGGCCTCAACCTCTCCCGATGGCGAATTCAAGATTCCACGGCCTCGGTTTCAGCACAATACTAGCTGCCCGCAAGACCCATGTTGACTTGCTACCTCGACTAAGAAACCCGCCATGTTGCTTGCCGTCCGTCCATTGTCCAAAAAAGGAGCGTCCATCTGGCCAGGAGAATCGGCCAACACCTTCCTTCACCGATGCAAAAGGCCGCAACTTTCATGTGCAAGTGCCCCGTCAGTACGATCTGCTCATGAATGAAAGCAGGATAAGTACGCGTAGACGCACTTGGCCTTCACGTCCTTTGCGTAGAAACCTTCGAAGGTCTTGCCGTCCGGCCAAGTGAATCTGCGCAGCAAGGCGGGGCATGCGAAGTTTCCAGAATGCTACTTAACAGTGAGCCTGCCAGCTCCATCCATGTAGCTTGCTTTCCAGGATCCTACGAACCTTGATGGCGATTTGTTCACTCTCCAACTGACAACCGATTGTTCGGAACACGATGTTCGACTTCCCGTCGCCGGGTTCATGCTGAGTGAGGGACTCACGCCCATCCCCTTAGTTGCTGCAGAATGCGGAAGCTACAGTGCGGCATCAACTTGGCTGTCGGAGTCAAGTCTTGCTGCCAAGCCTCCCCAGACATACCTGAAGGAAAAACAAGCAGCAGCAACACGGTACAACCACAAATCACGCAACAACTCACAAGAATGGCACTGGCCTAGACAAGGTTCAATTCTTGACCTTTGCATAGATTTGCATTCCTGGTGCTTGCCATGTCCACTGATCTCATTGTCCTTGAAGTCGCCACTGTAAGAGGATTTGTCAGCCCAGGTGAAGCAGCCCTGTCCCGAGTGAGCAAGGTTTGTGCGGCTTAGACTGAAGGGCCGGGATCAGGAGCCCGGCAGGAGGTCGCGCAAAGAAGAGATGGGGGGTAAGGAGCTTTCTTCCGACTGGTTATGGTCATCCATAAAAACTACTGTTGTTCGGCTCTGGGTGTCTTCCCCTGTTGCAGAGAATTCCTTTTGCATTGCTGCACATCGGCAGTCCCGAAGACGCGATGTTTGGGATTGGCTTTGGAATTTCTTCCGGTTTGACTGCACGCGAAGACAGCGCAAGCAGATAAGTCGTCTCAGTGAGTCTGTGAGAGCGGTCAGCCGCCCTAATCTTCACAAGTGCAGAAGTGCTGAAATGACGCTTTCCAGGGTCAGCTTTGCAGGGCAGCCGTTAAGTCGCTAAGGAACGCACCTGGCCGGACTTCAAGCCGTTCTCGTACGTGCCTCAGCTTCCCGTGATGCCAGGAGCCGAATCGCGACTGGATCGGAAGTTCAGCCGAAGATCCCGTGAATCTGGTGCCGTCCGGCCAGGTCTCGATCCCGTAGCCATGCTGCCGGTCGTCCTGCTAACACGAGTCAGTGTGAGCTCTGTTGCCGGCCTCTGCAAAGACGGCTCCTGCCACTGCCCAATGTAGGTCGAGCCACTCGCATGCCTGAGCTCTTCGTGCCGGGACTTCGAGGTTAAACCAAGGCTGACCGGCTGACACCCTGAACCGAAAGCAAAACTGACCTCCATCTCCGAGCCGCAACTCCACACTCCATCCCAAAACTGATGGGGAATCGATGACGTTATTTACGTTGGCTCAAGATTTGTCAGGTCGTATGTTGAGGCAGCAACGAAGCACACACCCCCAAACAACAGGAACAACAAGAGCAACAGCGACAGCAAAAAGGCACTACCACAGCAACGGGACAACGACAAGGACACGACGACCTCGTACCTGCCGAAAGCTATACGTTACTTAAGTCTGGTACAGGGGGCGCATCTCTCGCGAAGCAACCACACCCCCACGCAACGGATGAGACGGCAAGGTTTTGAGCTCTTCATCAGCTCCGGTCTGAGCAGGCATGGAGCGGTTTGTAAGTAGCTCCTGTTTCAAAAGAGCTGATGCTCTTTGTGGGCAGTCTCGCTTATACCGAGTCTCGTGACGTGAAAGACGACAGCTGATGCGAGCTTCACATCCGAGAGTGGTATTTCGGCTCTTCATGTGAGACAGCGACAGCTGACTGCATGCAAGCCGCATGTATGTGCCACGTCCGTGCGCTTTGTCATTCTTCCACTCGCCCTCATACACCTAAGATTTCCACAAAAGCTCAAGCCAGCAAAGCATCGCTGGAAATCTTCCTACGAGCTGTAGAGGCTCTGGTGTAGACATGGCCGCTCATCTCTGCTAAAATTAGCTCAAAATGTCGAACTGAGCATTGTGGAAGCGAGCCGCATCACCGTCGCAATGCTCAAACCGTCCAATTCCGTTGGCCATGTCGTGCTGCCACTGTCCGTCATAACGCGCTCCATCTGGCCATACCTGCAACGCATGGCTTCACGGGAGTGCAGCTAAACTCGGGCCGGGCCGCATAACACCTCTATTGGAGCCCTTGCCTGCACACCACTTCCGTGCCGCACAAGACCTCGAAGCTACCGGGTCATCAATCACGAGTCTCTCACCTGCGCCACAGCTAAGCACCGTGCCGAGCCAATCACCGGTGTAGGTGGAGCCGTTTGCGAAGGTATGCTGCGGGCGCACCTGTGCGGCGATTGGATTTTTGAAGTCGTGAGCTTGTCCAACTCAAAATGCTCTCGGTCGCAGTGGTTGTCAAGCCTGTGCCTCGAATTTGTCCCCTCCTGGCAAAAAGCATCTGTCAGCTCCTTTTTGTCGTGTAGCTCCCGTAATCAGAATTTCACAAATCAAAAAGCTAGCCCGCAGAGAAACAAGCTCCGTGCTAAACGGCGTAAGCCAAAACCACTACTACGGTGCATACGCCCTTTTTGGTCGAAGCGCAGGAAATGCGCCCGGCCAGGCGTTCCGTCACCAAACCGGTGCCGGTGCCGGGGTGCGCACTTCTGCGCCCAGCCCCGGGCACCGTCCGGTGGACGGTCGCCGGCCGTATATAATCCAGTCGATATTAAATCGCCCAGGGTCGGGCGGGTGGGATCACAGAAATTGAC